CTGGCTGGGGAATTCTGGGAGTTGAAGTCCACATATCTTAAAGTTGCAAAGGCTGAGGAACACTGTAGTAGAGAACATTCTGACCCCATCAAATGAAACTTCTAGACAGATTCTGCTACAGTGATATTGCCTGAAAGAGTCCTAGATTATTGAAGGACAGTGTGGAAAACAAAATGCGTATTGGCTCTTGTGGACAGCGGAAGCAATCTGGTTGTTTTGAAACATGGCTGTGACCAGCATGCAAAATACTTGCTTTTTTCCATAAGTGGGTACATGCCTCATTAATTTCATAGACCTGAGCTACACCTTGATTTCAGTGAAGCAGAAGAACTAGCTAAACCATGATGTTTAGAAGGGAAGGCTGTTGTCTAGGTACTTTGGAGCTTAAATCTGAATAAGATGAAAGCAAAAGGGGAAAGGGCTATGGTATTTATGTGTGTCAAAAGTTCAACTAGCATTTTACTGGCATGAAAATACTTGCAAGTTGTTTGTATTTTTCAATCAGTGGTAAATCTTCCTCTGATTTAATTCCAGGGTGGCATTTTATGGCCCAACAGTGCAAACGTTTTATTCCAGCCTTCCCCATACTGCTGATTTTTACATGCATTACTACAGATCCCATAATTCAGTAGCAGTGGGAGGAATCATGATTTAGACACCAGACAGGATGGAAGAATGTCTGAAAAAAGTAATTCCTAGATGGAAGTGGTCCTATGCCAGATCATTGATAGCTACAGTTTGGAATTATGAATGGAGACAAAAGAAAGGAAGAAAACACTACAGAATAGGTCTGATGCTGTTGCCAAGACAAGGAAATTCATAAAACAATACAACATGAGTTTGCTATTGGGGTATATGTAAGTTCTGGAAATGGAACCGAACATGGAAGGAGATCTATGACATGAAGTTACCCCCCATTAGGTACAATTCAACCATCTGTCACCCTTTGAAAACAACAGCAAGTTTGAGAGTTTTGAACTGATGGACAGGTCCACAGGTTCAGGCAGCTGTGATGTAGTCAGCTGTGTCCTTGGGGAAATTCTCAGTTGCTTTCTCCAGTCACAGGTGCAGTTAAGGAGAATTTAAATAGCAAATAAGGGTTTATTGGTGTGTTTAGCAGAAATGCGGGACAGATACAGAGAAACAACTCAAAGCAAATCAAGAGTCTATAACGTGCGCTGCAACTTTTCAAATGTACCTTGAAAAACATCTGCGTGGTGATACAGAACCATTCCTAAAGGGCAGAGATTTTTGCAATATAATTAAAACACATACTGGACGGATGATGTTCCAAAATACCCTTTGTCGGAGAAAATCTCCCTGATTTTAAATTTGGCCCATCATTAATCCTTTAGCATTATCTATAAGGATTTTTTAAAAATGATGTAAGTTTACTACTATTTACTTCAGTACTGGTATTATATTAGGAATCACCTCTTCCTTTTCTTTCTCTTTGGGGGGAAAAGCCATTTTATCAAAGAAACAAAAAAAGAACTCCTGTTTAAAGAAACAAGGCAAAAAATTAGGGTTGGTTACCTCCACCTTCTTATCCCGGAGCTCTTTTAAAACTGGTAGGGGTCTCAGGATTGAACCTGTAAAAACTAGGCCACTCTTCCTCAACCTTCTGTCCTTCCAATGTGTTGGGGTGGTCTGCAGCTCTCAGACTTGGTTGAAGACTGTGGAAGCTACAGTTGCAGCAGGCTGTGAAGGGTTGGGTTAGCCATGAAAGCGCCTTGGTTTACTACTGTCTTGTATATTTCTCCAGATTGTGGCTTAAGGCATGGCTGTATCCTTCCAGGCACTGTTGTCCTTGCTGCTGCTAGGCCTGTTCAGCAACACTGGGAGAGGACAGCGAAACCCAGAGGTATTCTGTGGAGGTTAGTGTCTCAACTGAGTATTTCCTTCTATGACCAAAGGGCTTGTGTCTCACAAGTTTGATAATTCGGTACAAATAAACCAATAACTTCTCAGTTTGCCTGTTCACCTAAAACCAGAGTTTTGTAAGGACACTGAAAGGCAGAGATATATCAATGGATCCCCACCACCCCTTAGAACTTTTTAAGGACCTTGAAAGGCCTGAATCAATGGATCCCCACCACTCCTTAGAGCTTTTTGAGGACACTGAAAGGTGAGATGTATCAATGGATCCCCACCACTTCTTCCTTATCATTACATTCCGCATCAATGTACTTTTTTCCCTCCATTGTTTTCAGCCATTGGAGTGAACAGAGCGTGTGGGCAAATCCAAAGTAGAAAAATAACTCAGGACTGTAATTTAATTCATGGTTTCTACTGCCTTGAATGCAAAGAATGGATCCATCAGATCATTTCAAAGACTGAACTATCCCTTGGCTATAGGATCTCTTTCATCTGGGGAGGCTGGAGAAATTGCCCCCACTGTTCTCCCCCAAAAGGGCCCTGCTTAAGGCTGCCACTCTATGTCTTGCTTATGGTGTCCACATTAATACTTCTTGTACTGATGGAGCAACATTGGGGAGACCATGTCTAGGGCTTTGTAATTTGGTCCTTTCTTGCATTGCCGTATCACATGGTCTGACAGTGCAGCCTCTCAGTATATGCCTTTCCAGAGCCATGCTGAAATAGCAAAATGGCAACAATTATTTTAGCTTGCAGTACTACAGCTGATATATAATGCCAGTGGGTCAAATCTTGCTGGCCCTCTCTTACTTAAGATTGAGGGCGAAGGACGGCCTGCTTGAATTCTCTGGCATTTGAAAGTAACACATCAAGGCGTAATCCTGCTAGGATCCTTTCTATGACCTCCATAAAACATTCAGCCAGCCATTGCTCATCTGCAGTCTGGGATGTCACCATGACCAAGACACGGCTACAGATCTCCTTGCAGATCTATCTTTATTGTTAGGCCACATGACCATCTGGGTTCTTTGCTACAAGAAACTCACTTTGTTAATGAAGGAAGTATCATAACTGAACATCTCTACTCAACAAGCAAATGTACATCCCTGCTTTTATTTGTACCATTATAGCTGCAATCACTCCATTTCCTGAGGAACAACTTCTGCTTAACACAGTGGGATCTCCTCTTGAGGAAGCATGCCTAGGAGGGAGAGTAAACTTTTGTTTGTGCTTTATCTATAAGGTAGATGCTCGCTTGATACATTAAACTTGCCTTAGAAAGGGTGTGCGTTGACCGGCATTGTCAAATACCTAGAGGCAAGGAGTCAACCCATGCAGGAGCACCCACATTGCTCTTCTCCTCCCCGGCAATTCCACCTGGCTGCAAACAACAAGGCTTTGTCATCCATTGACAGTCGTGCACACAAGGGGGAAAATTCTCCATCTGTGGTCTCCTAGCACAGAGACAAGCGGGTGATTCTTTTAACAGATGGCACAATGAGCTGTAAGAAATGAACATCTCTCCCGAGACGGATAACCTGACAGAAGTAGTTGCAACAACATATTGAAATAAATCCTCCCTGATGTATGCCAGGACTGCAGAATCTTCAGTCCCAAGATCTCTTGACAAAAAGTCTTGCTTGGGTGATGTGGGCATGGCAGTTTTGAGAGACAGACCACCTTGTGTTTCCTGGAAAGTAGCAGAAGGAGACAGGGTGGCCAAAGACATGCCATTACAGATGCGCTTTGATTGAAAGAAACCCACAACTGTAGCAAAGATGCCTCTCCCAGGCAGAAAGAGATCAGCTTAGAGTATTTTCTGCTCTTGCAGAACATAGCTGGTATTTGCATTTCTTTTTTACTTTAGTTAATCTCCTGATTCTGCTCCAGAGTCTATGTCTGGGATAAATTCAGTATTGATTATTTCACTTCTATAGTGTTCCTACTCAGAATTCCACTGGAATTAAGCTATTCCCATTTCTCACCTGCTACTCAAAGAGCATTTTTTAAAGAAGGGGTGGATTTACAGCAATCTCATTCTTCATTCCAATCGATTCAGAAAGATACGGAGAGTGATGTTTTGGAAAAGGGTACTTTATCCTCCTACGTCTTCTTCATTCTGCAAAACAGTGGTGAAATGACCAGAGAGACATGAGTTCAAGCTCTCACTAGGCCAGTGTTTCTCAGTCTGAGCAACTTGAAGTTGTATGGACTTCAACTCCCAGAATTCCCCAGGCAGAGTTGAAGTCCATACATCTTAAAGTTGCTGAGATGGAGAAACACAGTACTAGGCCTCAAAACTCCTTGAGTAAGTTTGGGCTGAGTAAATTTTCCCACCCTAGCCTCTCTCACAGTTTTGTTTTGTTTTGTTTTTGCTGTTATGAGAACAACATCAGAAGAGGGAGCTCTTGTATACCATCTTGAATCCTAGCTGGAAAAGTGAGATATAAATTAATATTATTAATTATCTTGATTTACATTTCAAAAAGTTTGTGTTTTTTAAGGAAAACCTTTACAACTATTTCCTTTGGGAAGGGAATACTATTTAGAGTACCTCTAACTTCACGTTTATTTAACCCTCTTCAAAATCATTTCAAGATGAAGGTGTCTTTAAATAGCAAAGAGGCACCAGAAAGATTTTTTTTTTTAAATTAACATAACTTTCCATGTCATTAGTGTTTGGGAATTTGGGATACTGTAATCCGAACCTTTCTTGTGGATGTCAGATTGTGGAAAGCTGAACTTCCAGACAGAGTGCATTGCTGGGAACAGGCACCATATGGATGGATGGTCTTTCTGGTCAATGAATACGTTCTGCAGTGTTTTTATAAGGGAAAGCTTAATTTTATGCTAAAGTTATTTTGATCTATCTCAGCATTTTAGATGACTTGGGATTGGCAATCGGTATTCAAAACTTTTCATATTTTAGCAGGGCAGATTTTAGTCTCGTGCTAAGGAAACCGAAGGCTCCATGTTGTATAATCTTGCTGTTCTCAGCCTTGTTTTGCAATCAGATCTTCATACAATGAACTTGGATTTCCCATTGATTTAATGACAAGTGCTGCTGCTAGGAATTGATCGTATGTTTTCATTAGTTAAAAATGTTTCAACAGAAGGATCATTCTGTGCTGCTTAATAATAGGGAAGAGCTTAACACCCACCATGAAGCATATGCAATATAAAAATGGATTATCACCAAGTAAAGCAATCTTTTGAAAGCAGTGGACTAATTTGGAATTTGAGAGAGTGGTGTAAATATACTCACAAAATGGTTCACCATTAAAAAAAAAGAGAGAGAGATTATTGGTGGGGGACACTTGCCTGCTCACAAATTGGTTATCACAACAGGCACAGCTGGCCTGTCATTGACCAGGTATTTTGTCCCCTTCTTGCCAATTCTCTTAACCCAACCAGGTGATCTGAGAGACCCAGGTGGCAAGACTGCATTTGCAATTCAAAATCCTAAGGCAACACAATTCAGTGCAACCTGATCTGAGATTTGAATTGTGTAGGTATGTGTAAAAATCCACTGGATTTTCTACCCTTTGAATCGCTCCAAAGCAATTTAAGGCTTTAAGTTCAAATCACCTCCGAGAGTCATTCACAGTTTTAAGTCAAAGGGGAAAATCAATAACAGCTCCCTCAAATCAAAGCTTTAGATCAAAACTTTGTCCAGGCCAACTCTGTTCTACCACAACTTACTTTCATCTTTTTTCTGGGGGGTGGGGCAAGCAAGCATCCTTATGAAAATAGGATGGAGCAGAAGCCACCTGCTGTTTTTATTTTTCTAAGAATGATTGTCAGATCTATGTGGGGCCTAAAAGGTTTGCAGGAAAAATTAGCTTTTGAGGCTGGTGCCTAGCTGGGGATGATAGCAGTTATAACCCAGTGCGATTGGAGGGCACCAACTTGGAGAAACGCATTCTGAGGACTCTATGTTCCTACAAGGGATTTGTGAGCATGGAGACTATGGTTAACTACAATGTAGTTTGTAGTTCCAAAGTTGGAACTAGTCTTGATAAAACCCAGGTTCAAGTTGACCCTCAAATGCACAGAACTGACTAAATGACCTTTGTCTAGGCACTGTCTCTTAGCCCAACCTATCTAACAAGGATATTGTTGGGATAAAATGAAGGGAGATCTCCGTGTGAACATTGAGCTCTTGAGGAAAGGTGGAACTGTACAAATATATAATTAATACATTGATTTAATTCATCAATTAACCTGTTTTTCAAACAGAAATGGTTCAATACAATCCAGAACATAGCGAGTATGCTCAAGTAAATCCAAAAGAACAAATGGGGCACCTTCAGCAGTGACTTCATAAATCTATATCGCTGTCAACAATGAATGCAATACACAGCCATGAGAGAACAGGCTGATAAATAAATATAATCTAATTTGGCTGCAGGCAGAAAGGGACGGTGCTTGTTCCTGGCAAACTATATCACTTGTGGATGAAGATGATGAGGGTGTATTGTGTATGGGTGAAAGCATGCACTGGGTTTGTGCTGGGGCTAAGGGCCTTAACTGTACATAACATAACATGATTAACAACCACATTTTTAATATCATAAAATTGAATACCAACTATTGCTGGGAGGAGTAACGATGATAGTTACTGGCAGTAGCATAGAAAGGAGATGTTCAGGCTTTCTTTCCCATAGTCACCAAGACAATTAATACTGGAGGAAATTCCCACTGGCGTTACTGGGAGCACCTTTCCCCCTAATGTTAACTACTGTCCTATTTTTACTAAGACTATAGTCAGAGAGGAATCTCCCCTCTCCACCCGCTGCAGAGGGACGAGCATTCCTCCCCCACATTGAACACCGGCCATAATCATGTTGCTAATGTCACATGCAAACCGCCACTATTTTAAAACTGCAGAGTTCTACAGAAAGGGTGTTAAAAAGCAGAGCCACGAATGACCTTTCTTTAGAAACCATCTACTCAGTGATCATTCTGATAGCAAAAGCAAAGCAGGGGCCTTAAAAAT